TGCCGAGCCCATCGTCGCTGCTTCTTGATTGCCGCTGCTCAGGAAAGGGTAAAGCAGATCAGATTTTTCGGGTAAAATGAAATTACATGGCTAACCCCAAAAACCAGAAAAAATGAGGGCAATTCAGGTAATTCATAAAAAATGATACATGTGTCGGCTAAACAATGCGCCACTTGTCGTCATGAGAGTGCATTTATATCTTCATATATAATAGTAGAGATATTTTACAAATATATTGTAAGGAAAGATTGGTTTTGTATCGATTTACGGTTCTATTTTTTGTAAGTGGAAGACATAGAAAATTCTCAAAACCATTTTAAGGTGAATGAGAAATTAATTCTGTAACGCCCCATTTTAATTTAAAGAGTTAACCGAATTTATTTATAAAAATCAGAGTAAATGTTTCGCAAAATATCAAATTAAAAACTTTGATTACCAACGGGCGCTACTTAACTATCAAAATCAATTACACAAGTACAAAACAAATAGATAGAACCTACACATGCATAGACTAACAGTTATAAAATTAAGTAATTAACCCAACTTATTCATAAATCTCAAAACAACCAAATAGTTCAACACAATTCATCGGTTCATCCAAACTGTTCATAAAACTAAAGCGGAAGCATAATAATCCAAAATAACACACAAGTGTTTCAACAAAAACAATCATAGACGGAAGCAAAAGACACTAAATAAGCAACATCAAATGACAACCATTCGATCGTCTTCTCGCCGTTACCGTCAGCCATGCTCAACCTAAAGATAGGAAGAGGAAACAAGAGGAAAAACAATGGGGTGAGCAAAACCATCATGCTCACCATTACCGCACAGTATATCTCGCACAAAGATTCAAAAACCATAAATAAAGTATGCATAGAATCCAAACTCTAACTCCCTATATGGCCCTATCGCAAACCTCCTATGTACATACAACATCCTTCCGATCAGACATAGGCAAGGAGTAACCGGAAACCTTCCCACGCCGGCTCGACACGGGCTAAGGGATCCTTTCCAGGAGATAGTGGAACAGTTTTTCCCCAACACACGGGCCAGGGCGTCCTCCTCCCGGATATAACAGGCAGGTGATCTCTCGTTGCTTATGCATTCATCAAAGGCACTATCGAAGGGATACTTAGACTAGAGTTCTCACGCATACAACGGCTATCGAGATGAACATTTATACGAAATAACGAGTGCCATAATTATAGATACAACGTAAATATACCCACCTGGTAAAAAGCGAGAGATATCACAAAATAATGTGTAGGCGGCGAGCTCGGCTCGTCAAATACCTACATTTAATAAAAATAGCCTATAAATGACTATTCAATATATAGACAACTAATCAACAATCACTTAGTCCAACTAAGCTCACATAAGCATTTAAGCATGCCTTTAATCAAGGAAATCCCATTTCCGAAAACACCACGTAAGTTTTTCAAAAACTAACCCGAGAAGCGTTTTTTTTTTTTTTAAAAAAATCAACGTAACTTTCAGCACATAATTCATATGAACATGATTTAAGTTGCATTTAAACCCTAAGACATGCATCTACAATACTTATGAAGACATCGAAAACAAATAAGGTCATTTAATAGATGATAACTCAGCAAACATCCAAAATAGCATAACAGTAAAAAATTGAGAACTTGTAACCGACCAGACTTCAGTATTTATTAGATAACTTGAGCTACAGACATGCTTTTAATGAGATTCAAAAACCAAAATGCAGCCAATACAATTATCGACAACTTTGCTGAAAATCACATTGGCAAATAATGACATTATCAATGAGTTTAAACAAAAAACATGCGAGTCGTAAAATCTGCCAGAAACCAAAACAAGGTACAAACAGCACTTCATAAAATTGACTCTACCTCATGCTACAGACCATCAAATAACTTGATTCAAATCTTAAATTAGACCTAAGGTATGCATCTACAACTTTTATTTGAAACACAAAGACAGAGAAGATCATTTAGATAGTGTAAAAGCAGATAACATTTAGAAGAAGGTTCCTGCCAAAAGTACACACCCTACCTCATGCATATCTACGATCATTTGAACACAACTCAGTTGTGCTACAGAGCTCGTATCAGCATGCACCATACCTCAAAAGATAATCTATAGACCTATAACTTTCATGAAGACTACAAATACATAGGATCACATTATGACACAATAAACAAGTCAAACAATAATAATACACATGTTGCCGGGTACAGAAAAACTAAACGCACGATATTTTGATAAAAATCATAACTCATTCGATACTACTCGGATTATCATAATTCTAAAGCCCAGAGAAAGCCAACTGGAAATACTACATTACATATGAACATTACAACTTCAAATAACCGGTTTCAGAGGGCCAAAACAGCAGTTCAACAGACAGTAATTTCGAGATAAATCATATCATATACAAATCGAAACGAATCTGACTTCAAGCAAGGATTCGATAGAACGTACGATATTTATATCTAACATGTGATATATGAGAATGACCGGAATAACGAGAGGGTTCGAATAAGTTACCCGTCTTTGGGAATCTACGAGCTATCGGACGGGAAACGGCTCGGACGACAGGAAATCAACCGGAAAAACGAAAACTCGAACTTCTCGAAAGGTGTTGCTCGCGAACCGAGGCTTCCACGGACGGCAACCTGTTACTGCCTGCTCGAAATCGGTGGCTGCTGCAGTACCTGAGGTCCGACGGCTGCTCGCTGGTCTTGGGAAGCTGCTGTGCGCGGGCAGTTGGCCGGAAAGCGGAGTTCTCAACCAATGACCGACGTGGGCTTGCGAACGTTCACGGGATGCTGCTCTTGGTCGCGAATGACGTCTGTTGGTCGTGAAAGAGGAGGCTCGCCGGGACTGCTATTCACGTCGGAGATGGCGCAAGGGAGCTCGCCGGAATTCATGGTGAGGAGCTGTGTGACCGGCTGTTGCCGGAAAACAGAGCTCGGCAATGGTGGACAGCGGCTGGGAACTGGACGGCGGCTCTCTGGAAGCAGCATGGTGATCGCCGGAAGCTAGCCTCCTCGAAGAACGTCGTTGACATGAGAGCTCGCTGGAAAAGAAGGTTCAGCGACGATTCTCTTAATTTTTTTATTTTTTTTAAGACGAAAGCAGAGTTGCGATTTGAGTGACTGCGTTCTGTACAAGATGGAGAAGGATGGAACTTATATGCATGTTTGGATGGAGAGATAAGAGAGATCGTTGGGGAGAACGTGCAGTTCGTTCACGGAAGAATCGCTACCAGATCTTTGAACATGGAGATGATGGGTGACTCGGTCTCGGCGACGAAGAAGAAGAAATCTCTCATTTGGGCCTAAGTTAATAAAGGAATTTGGGCCAAACATAATTAAAAGAATTGGGCAAGGCATTTTAGCATAGTAATCGGGTTGGAATTTAATCATCTGAATGGACC